TCAAAAAAAAAAAAAAAAAAAAAAAAAAAAAAAAAAGTCAAGCTCTCTGACCAACAGGACTCAGCTGTTTGGGCCACTTCCTCCCCCAAGCAAAGGAAGGAATCTGACAACTTACCTCAGTTCCTGAACCTGGCAAAAAGTTCTTGACAAGGATGGTTTTGCCCAGGGCTGGGAAAGGGGCTTCCATGACACTCCTCATGAGGGGCTGTACCAGGGCAGGAGAAATGCCTCGTCTTTTTTCCACCTCATCCAAGATCTGCAAGGGTCAGAAAAGCAGCTCAGCTATCTGAAGTCAGGGCACCAAGGTGTAGCTCAGTTCTAGATGAAGCCGGGGTGACTCAAGAATTACAGGGCCGGGCATTGTGGCTCATGTCTGTAATCCCAGCACTTTGGGAGACTGATGTGAGAGGATTGCCTGAGCCCAGGAGATTTGAGACCAGCCTGGGCAACATAGGGAGGCCTAGTCTCTACTAAAAAAAAAAAAAAAAAAAAAAATTAGCCAGGTGTGGTGACACATTCCTGTAGTCCCAGCTGCTTGGGAGGCTGAGGCAGAAAGATTGCCTGAGCCCAGAAAGTTGAAGCTGCAATGAGCCATGATCATACCATTGCACTCCATCCTGGGTGACAGACTGAAACCTCGTCTAAAAAAAAATACACAACACACAGAGGGTGCCAAAAAATGTATACACATTTTTTCTTAATAAGTGGAAGTCTCACTTTGTTACCCAGGCTAGAGTACAGTGGCATGTGCAAGGCCACCGCAGCTTTGATCTGCCGGGCTCAGGTGATCCTTCCATCTCAGCCTTCCAAGTAGCTGGAACTACAGGTGTGTGCTACCAAGCCCAGCTAATTTTTTGCTTTTATTATAGAGATGAGGTCTCGCCAAGTTGCCCAGGCTGGTCTCGAACCTGCGGACTCAGGCAGTCCCCTCATCTCGGCTTCCCAAAGTGCTGGGATTATAGGCATGAGCCATCGTGTCCAGTCCTGGATGGCGATTCTTGATGGCGTGATGAAAATGTTCTAAAATTGTGATGACAGTGGCACAACTCTGTGAATATGCTAAAAGCCATTGAATTTTATGCTTTATTTTCATGTTTTTTAGAGACACGGTCTTACTATGTTGCCTATGCTAAACTTGAACTCCTGGGCTCAGCTTAAACATCCTCTTGCCTCAGCCTCCCAGGTAGCTGAGACTGCATCCAGTGAATTGAATACTTTAAATGAGTGAATTGTGTGGTATGTGAATTATATCTCAATAAAGCCATTAGTAAAAACCAAAAAAAAAAAAAAGATTCAAGTACAAGACCTTCCACAATCTAGCTGTAAATCAGAGTCTAAGTAAAAAAATCTCATTTGTAATAATACCACATGTAGCTATTGAACCCTTGAAATATGGCTCATCTGAATTCAGATGCATTGCTGTTTTGAGTTGGGGATCTCACTCTGTTGCCCACACTGGAACGCAGTAGTAAAATCACAGCTCACCACAGCCTCCAACTCTTGGGCTCAAGTGGTCCTCCCTCCTCAGACTCCTGAGTAGCTGAGACTGCAAGCTCACACCACCACACCGAGATAATTTTTTGATTTTTTATAGCGATGGGGTCTCACTATGTTGTCCAGGCTAGTCTTGAATTCCTAGGCTCAAGTGATCTTCCCATCTCAGCCTCCCAAAGTGTTGGGATTATAGGCATGAGCCACAATGCCTGGCTGAGATGTGTTGTAAATGTGAAATAGCCACTGAATTTCAAAATGCAAAATTAGAATATAAACTATTTCAATGACTTTTCATATTAACTACATGCTGAAATAATAATAGTACATGTTTTTGAGATAGGTTCTCACTCTGTCACACAGGCTAGAGTGGCATGATTACAGTTCACTGCAGTCTCAAAATCCTGGGCTCAAGCCATTCTCCTGCTTCAGCCTTCCAAGTAGACATTAATGCTTTCTTTTTCTGTTGTTGTTGTTTTGAGTTGGGAGTTTCACTCTGTCGCCCAGGCTGGAGTGCAGTGGCATGCTCATGACCTTTGTAGCCTCGACATGCTGGGCACGGGCGATCCTTCTGCCTCAGTCTTCCAAGTAACTGGAACTACAGGTGCGAGCTACCACGCCCAGCTAATTTAAAAAAAAAATTATTGTAGAGATGAGGTCTCACCAAGTTGCCCAGACTGGTATCGAACGCCTGGGCTCAGGCAATCCTCTCGCCCAGCCTCCCAAAGTGCTGGGATAACAGGCTTGAGCCACTGCGCCTGGCAACATTAATGCTTTCCAACGGACTTGCAGAGAAGTTCCACCATGGCAAGATATCACACTGCACCAGTACAATTTAGGCTTTTTCTGAGTTCCAGTGGAGGATGGGCAGGAAGTACACTCTCATTTAGAAATGCTTTAGAAAGTGCTGCTTTATATCCAGGAACAGTAGGTGCAAGAACTTCAATTCTCTCAAAGAAAGCTCAGACAGAACTATATACTCTAGAACGGTTTAAACTAAATTCATGAATTAGACACTCATTTCCAGTTAATATGGGAAATGAATGCTGGAGTGTACCTAATTTTTGAGATCAGCATCATATGCAATAGTGGTTCTCTTCTATATACAAATCCAGAATACTGGGGTGGATAAGCTGAATCAATATTCCTACGTCTTGCTCAATTGGCTCATAGTCCAGAAAAGAGTACCAAATTATGTTAATATTTTGATAAACTTAGAGCATTATTAAAATAATAAATGTTGCACGTACAACAGATATATGCACATGACATTTCTGTACATAGACACATAAACATGTATCCATCACAGTGGCCTTCCTTCCAGCAAAAGCTTACATGACAAAAGACAACGCTTAGAAGGAAAGTAAAACACCCGGAATATTCTGGGAGGATAATCCTCCACTCCTCCCTCCCTCAACTACAGTGATCTTGCCCTCTGCCAACACACATGCTTTCTGAGAAAACCCAGCCCTTCATCAACTCTTATTTCCTGAACCCAAGAAGAGAGAAAAAAGGAGGTGAGGGGAAGTGAAGAAATGGGAGAAAAACAGGTAGAACGTAAGATTATAAAAGTGCCAGGAGATGGAGATATTCCCTGGATCCTTCTAGGGCCCTTCCCTTCCTTCCCTTCCTCTATTCTCTGAGGTCCAAGTTCTCACCTTTGAAAAGAGGCTGAAGCATCCCAGGCGGCTCACAATGCAGTAAACTTCGGGAAGACGCTTCCCTTTGCCTCCAGGCTTTTTGGAGAGAAACACAAGGAAATTATGAGTATTAACAACCTAAGGGAAGGTAGAATCCAAATTTCTGAGTATATCATGTATCAGATGTTTCCACATACCATAGCTTCTGAAAGCCCAAGTAGTGTTAATACCCCATTTTATAGTTGGTAATGTGGTATCTAATTCTGGGGCTGGGTATGGTGGCTCACACCTATAATCCCAGCACTTTGGGAGGCCAAGGTGGGAGGATTGCTTGAGCCCAGGTGTTCGAGACCAGCCTGGACAACATAGTGAGACCTGGTCTCTATGTTAAAACAATATTTTTTGTTTATTCTCCTGAAGAGCCCAGATTCAAGGGCATTGTATACATAGTAGATGCTCAATATGGCCTCCTATAGAACCATAATGTAAGGAGGCTTAACTCACCCAAATTCTGTATTTCCTCCTAGGGAGTTACTTTCAGATCATCTGTTCATTATAATGATAATTCCAAATGGAGGCATCATTTCTGAAGATCCTTCTGAAAGTTGACTTTTAAGCTAATTCCAAACCAAAAGGAAAATCAATCTCATGATAGTAACTCAAGTAATTTGATCAACAAAAATTATCCCTGCTTTCATTTTACTAATTAATTCAACAAATATTTATTAAATACCTATTATGTGGCATGACTTATATATATATATGTATTTTGAGTCAGAGTCTCGTCGGGCTGGAGTGCATTGGCATAGTCATGGTCACCGCAGTCTTGAGCTGCTGGGCTCAGGTGATCCTTCTGCCTCAGCCTTCCAAGTAGCTGAACCACAGGCATGGACCACCATGCCCAGCTAATTTTTTTTTTTTTGGAGTTTCACTCCATTGTTCAGACTGGAGTGCAGTGGCACGCTCACGGCCACCGCAGCCTCGACCTGCTGGGCTCAGGCGATCCTTCGGCCTCAGCCTTCCAAGTAACTGGAACTACAGGTGCGTGCTACCATGACTGGCTAGTTTTTTGTTTATTGTAGAGACCAGGTCTCGCCAAGTTGCCCGGGCGGGTCTTGAACCCATGGGCTCAGGCAATCCACTCGCCTCGGCCTCCCAAAGCGCTGGGATTACAGGTAATTTTTTTGATTTATTGTAGAGACGGGGTCTCACCAAGTTGCCCAGGTTGGTCTCGAACCCCAAAACTTGGGCAATCCTCTTGCCTCTGCCTCACAAAGTGCTGGAATTATAGGTATGAGCCACCATGTCTGGCTATGAATTGTACTTGACTTTAAAGTTTTCCAGTCTATTTCTTTTTTAAAAAATTAATTAGCTAATTAATTTTTAAATTCAGCCTATTTGTAAGACTCAAGTATACTGACAGTGGAAAAATATTTACCACTCTTGAAAATTTTCAAAAGAATGGGCCTCAAAACAACAAGTTCCAAAATGTTTCAGCAGGATCATTTCACAGGTGTAAGTTTCTGACTTTTTTTTTTAAGAGACAAAAGTTTATTTAAAAGTAAACTAAGGAGAGAAAGAGAAGGGAGAGAGAAGATTCACCTCCCCAAGGTGGGGGAGGGGAGCAAAGCCAGGAAGCGTGGTGACAGCCATAACTCAATGAGCACATGGCCACACCAGAGTTTAGCAAGGCAATGGCTCCTGGCTGCTTGTGGCTGAGTTCTTTTAACCATTCTTCTTGATGGGGGAAGATCATTAAGGTGATTGGGTGGTGGGTGGTCTGCTCCACATCACAAAGGGGCAGGCAAGCGCAGGTAACAACATCAGGTGATGGACAGCAGGCAGATGGGTTGGTTAATCACAAGATAGCTGCCATGGTGAGGTTTATAGGTCTCAGGGATCAGGAAGTGGACATCTTTGGAGAAACCATTATTATCTTCCATATCTTCATTGGTTCAAATAATTCATGGTGGGTTCCTTCAATGAGGACACTTTATTGAGTGCCTTTTAGTTTCTGGTAGGCTCCTGAGTCGAGGACTAGTTCTCCTGACGTGGTGACTGCTACTCACGGTCAGGTACCACCTCCAAAGGTGGTACCTGACTTTTTTTTTTGTCAGTCTCAGTCTGTCACCCAGGCTGGAGTGTGGTGGCATGATCACGGCTCACTACAACCTCAACTTCCTAGGCTCAGGTTATCCTTCCATCTTAGCCTCCCAAGTAGCTGGAACTGCAGTGTACCCAGGTCCACAACCAGCTAATTGTTTGACTTTTTTTTGTAGAGATGAGGCCTCACTGTGTTGGCCAGACTGGTCTCCAATTCCTGGGCTCAAGCAATCCTCCCACCTTGGTCTCCCAAAGTGCTGGGATTACAGGTGAGAACCATTGCACCCAACTAGTTTCTGACTTTTTTTTTTGAGTCGTTGGAGTCTCACTCTGACACCTAGGCTACATTCATGGCCACTGCAGCCTCGACCTGCTGAGTTCAGGCGATCCTTCCTCCTCAGCCTTCCAAGTAGCTGGGACCACAGGCATATACCACCATGCCCAGATAATTTTTCTTGATTTATTGTAGAGATAAGGTCTCGCCGTGTTGCCTAGGTTGGTCTTGAACCTGTGGGCTAGGGCAATTCTTTCACCTTGGCCTCCTAAAGTGCTGGGATTATAGGCATAAGCCATAGCATCCAGCCTAGTTTCTGACTTTTTTTTTTGAGTTGGAGTCTCACTCTGTCGCCCAGGCTGGAGTGCAGTGGCCTCTCCCGGCCACCACAGCCTCGACCTGCTGGGCTCCGGTGATCCTTCCACCTCAACCTTCCAAGTAGCCGGAATTACAGGAATTACAGGCGCGCGCTACCACGCCCGGCTAATTTTTGATTTATTGTAAAGATGAAGTCTCACCTGCCCAGGCGGGTCTCGAACCCGTGGGCTCCGGCAATCCACTCACCTCAGCCTCCCAAAAGCGCGGGATTATAGGCTGAGCCACTGAGCCCGGCTGACTTTTATTTTTTATTTTTATTTTTTTCAGTTGGAGTCACTCTGTCGCCCAGACTGGAGTGCAGTGGCTACTCCCAGCCACTGCAGCCTCGACCTGCTGGGCTCCAGCAATCCTTCCGCCTCAGCCTTCCAAGTAGCTGGAACTACTGGCGTGCACTACCATGCCGAGCTTATTTTTTGATTTATTGTAGAGATGAGGTCTCGCCAAGTTGCCCAGGCGGGTCTCGAACCCGTGGGCTCAGGCA